CGTCTGTCTTGTTCGCCGGACAAGTTGCCTCTGGTCATTCCAGTAGCAAAACAAAGATGGCCGCCTTTATACACGACGGATACCGTGGTGTGCGGCTTCTGATTGGTTAACCTTCTATTGGTCGACTATAAAGGGAAATAAGTCATTTTGACTCGCTCACTAGTTATATACGATATATACTCAAAAAACCGTAACAAAGCATTCCATCTCAAAGGGGTGTCTCATCTGAAATAAAATTTTAATAGCATTAGACAACAGTTTCACAGGATGACTAGAGTTATTAAGAAGCAAAAAAAATGCTAATGAAGATTATTCTTCGAGATCATTCGCAGAACCTCAGAAAAACGAACGAATATATGTAAAAACCAAATTGATTAGGTTTAATTTTTGTCATTCTTTGATCTCATGATTGTTTATGATTTATGTTGGAGTGTATTAAGTAACTTCAAAGCCACTCATAAGACTTCCATAATCTACACAGACAGACACACACACATATATATATATATATATATATATATATATATATATATATAACAGCCAATGTCTGTCTGTGTGATACCATTTCAATCGAGATCCATCCAACCGATTTTGACTAAACTTGGCACATACATTGTACCACGTACGAGATAGGTTCTGAGCATAAAAATTGATAATTTAAAATAATCAATAATCAATAAAGCTGATCAAAAATCGATAAATTCAACTTTGAGATAATTCGTAGAACATCAGAAAAATGAACGAATATATGTAACAAGCTAATATACTGAACAGAATGGCTTACGGGGTAGCATGGAAGAGGAAATTCAAATGTATTCTCGTACGTTCAAAGAAAAAGAAATCCCTAACTATACTTTGAATAATTTGAACGTTTCTGCGACAAGATACCTTGACTAGATCAGTGGTCCTCATCTTGTTTTGCATAATGCACCCTTTTCACGATAAATCAGAATGTCAATCCGCCCCCACCTTTCCTAGACTGTACGACACAAAAGGTTCATTTATTTCAAATAATATCCATATATTATTGAAAAAGCTTCATTCTTTCCAATATTACTTCGTATATATTTACATGGATCATTTTTATAGATATGTTTTACAAATTTAATGGCAATAGAAAATGCTGATGGATTTTTAAACTTGAATACATGTACAGCAATTTGTTTTCATTCATAACTAATTATTAAACTGAAGCCTAATTCAATAAACAAAAAGTCCAATAGAGCCAAAATATTTTAATTCAATAAACAAGGCCAAAATATTTTAATTCAGTAAACAAGGTCAAAATATTTTAATTCAGTAAACAAAATAACGCTTTCCAGAAACTGCGAAAGGAATTAAAAGATAGAAAAAAATGTCCCTTAGAGAAAAGTACACTGGACTGCCATAATAGATGAAGAAAAAATTTGAAGTGACAGAAATGTAGTTCTACTGAAAAATGTTTAGAATATTATAGACCAGTGGTTCCTTTTTTTGCCCAATGCACCCTTTTCACCACATTTCAGAACGCCACCCCCACTTCAAGATTGTCCGACTCAAAAGGTGCGTTCCAAATAATATATTATTACAAATCTTCGTTCTTTTCCATATTAGTACACATACATTTACATGGATTATTTTTATAGAGATGTTTTACAAATTTAGAAATAATAGAAAATGTTGATGGATTTTAAACTTGAATACATGTACAGAAATTTGTTTTAATTCATAGCTAATTATTAAATACATAAACTGAAGCATAATTCAATAAATAAAAGGTTTACTAGCTTGGCAGGGTAACTTAATACAATAAACAAAATTCTGTAAATAAAATGCAAAAGATTCCCTCCCTGGAATCCTTTAGTTGAGAACCCCGGAATAAAGTGTCTTTGATGGCAAAATGCAAGTTTTCTTCTTGTATATTCAAAGAAAAGGAAACAACAGACTGTTCTTCTAAGGAGTAGTGAAAAAATGGGAGTCTGCAATCTGTCTCCTTGGCAACGTAATCATACGACCGGTCATTTTTTAGACGGCTAAATGGTTAGATGGCTATTACAGAGAGATTTAAAAAAAAAAATATTATGTGTCAACTCAGGCCACAGTATTGCCTGTGTATCTGTGTGTGTGCGTGTGTGTGCGTGTGTGTGTGTGTGTGTCAGTGCCCAAGATAGAAATGTAATGAGGCAGAGACTGATTTGATATAATCGAATGCGTGATTTTTTTTTCTTTCCTTTTTAATGTTTGTGTATGTAAGTGTGCGTAAACGTGTGCTGGCCGGCAAGACTGTATTTCCGGCACACGTGTTCGCACCCCTGCGCTACCATCGAAAAAGGTATGTATGTGTGTGTGTGTGTGCATATGAAAGAGAGAGAGAGAGAGAGAGAGAGAGAGAGAGAGAGAGAGGGTAATAAATAGAGAGAGAAAGAGAAAGAAAACCTATTCAAATATAGCTTCACAATACGTTCAACCACCGATATGATAATACCAACAAATATCACCCACCCTCTCACAATCAAAGGAAAGAAAGAAGAACTAGAAAAAAAAGGTACCAGCGTAAAATTGGAGATTAAGAAAAAAAAGAGACGGGTGCGGGGGGGTGCATGTCGGGTGGCACAAGAATAAAAGTAAAGCAGAAATAATGAAAACGAAAAGACGCAGGAAAAAGAGTAGAGTAGCAGAAAGTGTTCTCTACTTTGACGATTATTATTATTATTATTTAGATGATGGCCCGGTCAAATTGTTCAGTGATGCCTTTTTTTATTTTCTGTTTTTCGGGCCGACGTTTACTCAGCTGCTGGCGTAAAAAAGATGTTGTTTATCGTCAAGGCTAATGTAATCAGGATGTTAAAAAAACAAAAACAAAAAAAAACCTTGTCGACCGCGGTGCAAGCACTGCATATATTTGAGGATGGATTTATCAGGCCAGATTCTCAATTCGTTCATTACGAAAAGTCGCTGATGAACCATCATATCCACCGGCTTTAGTGGATATGATTGCTCGACTATTCGTGAGTTCGATTCTTGGTGTCCCACTGTTTTAACACTCCTCGAGAATAAATTCAACTCTGTAAATATCTACTCATAAAAGCGAACAAAAATGATTTTATAAATACATGTCAATATGAGGAGTGTGAATATACGCTTGTGTGATTAGTTTTTAAAATAGCGAGGGAAACATATATATATATATATATATATATATATATATATATATATATATATATAGAGAGAGAGAGAGAGAGAGAGAGAGAGAGAGTCTTGGATAGAAAAGAGTGGGTATATGCAACTATCTATCTATTTATATTTTACACACTACACACACTACACTCACACACACACACACACATATATTTATATATATATATATATATATATATATATATATATATATATATAGAAAATATATATAAAAAGTAAAAAATACAAATGCTCTGTTAAGATAAAAACATCGAGCTCTCTGTGGATGAATTTTAATAATTCATATTAATAGTATCCACCTGGATTATATACCAACGGCTCGATTACCTGTATATATATATATATATATATATATATATATATATATATATATATATATATATATATATATATATATTGTAACATCTATTGATATCAGTAAAATCATTTAATGTAAGACAACGCGGGTAGAATTTTTGGCAATAAGAGTGCTCAATACATAAACATTTTGTGAACTTGTTATATATATATATATATATATATATATATATATATATATATATATGGTATACAATCGAATGACAAAATGGAAAAAAAACTTCTAATTGTCGCGTTTCATCCCGAGAAAGACAGTCATAGCTGAAGAAATGTACAGGTTACAAAAACCTTTCAGACATCCCCAAACCTCACCACATTTATCTGAAGAGGCCATAGGAAACAGAATATTTACCCGAAAATGTTGAAACAATACAAAATTTATCGTAAATAACAATGGACATAATGACGTGGGAGTTGAGTTCGCAATGAAAAAACTAAAATATAACAAACCCTCTTTGATTTGATTGATTCGTTTTTTACGGCTTATCAACCTGTTGCAGGTTATTTAAAGCAAGAAAATATTTTTAGATAGTAATAAGTTTTTGGGATGGTAGGGGATAAATAATAATGGTTTAGTCATGAAAGTTTTACTAATTAACCCATATCTGGGGGAGAAGGATTGGATTAATACCTTTCCCACCGGTATTTGCACGTAAGTGAATGTAACGAACCCGACTGAAATTGGAACTTTTTTTTACTAATGTTCACCCAATACAAGGCCTAAGAGCCTCTCAAGGTAAAGGGTTATTGCTTAAATTCGTATTAGTGTAAGAAAGGGCAAGATAATAGGAAGTTAGCCAATTCCAGATTTGAAGAGGTCAAGATTTAAATATTGAATAAAATTTCAGTGTTAAGGCGGAGACGTTATGAGTATAGAGTTGAAGTAGAATTTAGAAGGAACCGGAAACCCAATCCTAAACAGGAAACAAAGGATGGACCTTTACTCCTGTTCAAAAGACAGGGGAAAAGTGAGAACCGGGCGATAGGCAAAGCTATACTAGGCTCTGCGATTAACAAATCTGTGCCATTATCCATTACGCCACCCACACATCCAACTTTACAGTACCTTGTATTTTCAAGCGGGCACTCATCTAGGTACTGACGAGGTTCGACATTGCTTAACTTTCAGGGTGGACCAGGGTTTCAACGTGATGTGTTCGTAAGCTCGCGTTCTGGCAAATTTTTTGATTGATTCGTTTTTTTATAGCTTATCAACGCGTTGCAGGTTATTTGAAGGAAGAAAATATTTTTAGATTGTAAGAATTTTTTGTGGTGGGGGTGGCAATAATTATTTAGTGATACAAGTCTTACTAATTAACCCATAGCTGGGGGGAAGAGGTAGATTCATAGCTTTCCCAAGGGAAATTTATGCGTAAGTGGATATAACGAATCTAACTAGAATTGGAATTCGACTCTCCTATTAGCAATTCCGAGCCATTATCCATTGCACCACCCGCACATCCAAGCTTACAGCACCTGGTATTCCCAAGCGGTCACCTATCTTGGTACTTATCAGGATCGACATTGCTTAACTTCGGTAATCGTACGAAAACCAGTGTTTCAATATAATGTGTCCGAAAGCATCATAGGCAGTGGAGCAAGAACAGTCCACCTCAGTAGATTAAATAGAAGGATCAGTTCAAAATTAACTGAAGTTTATCCTACTTAACAGACATCTGACGAAGAGCACAACGACCGAAACGTTGGGATAATAACAAAAAAAAAAAAAAATGAAATTAATCTAGGTACCTCCAGTTTTTTCGGTTAAAAGAGCATATCAAAATGAAAAAATGTCAACGTGATATGGCTGTAAGCCGGTGTTCTGTTAAGGGGTGCATTGGTGGTATATATGTCATCAAACAGTTACATGGAATAGCGTACTTATCGAATAGAAAGTTGTACACCTGCTATATCGATCTCACAGTGACATCAATTTCGGGTCCATCAGAAAGCGTCTTACACGTTCTAAATCCACTGACTGATAGAGGAACTGTATCGATCAACAAACAATATATTTTGGTCAATGGGTCCTTCATCTTCTGACTTCTCAGTTTAATCAAATAGTTGCATTTTGCTCGCCATTGAAGTATAGTTATACTACTGAAATTTTCGTGGGGAGAATAATCACAAGCGATGAAAAGTAGGTTCTCTATAATCATATCCAACAAAACGATTATGGTTACAAATCACTGATAAAAGAATTCATGTCCAAGCTGGAATTAAACTCGCAAAGCTTATCCACTGTATTTGGCGGGATATGAAATGTTTCGTTTCTCATGGTGTTCTAAATCAACACTAAGCAGCTAATACGGAGACGTCTTGTCGTCAATTGGAAACGTTCCACACAGTTTTAGAGAATAGCACCCACTATTAGTTAGTCGTCAAGATACATTGCTCTTACACGATATCGCCCATGTTACACAGGGAAAAGTCATGAAACTATCGATATTTTGCCTCATTCTACTTAACCTTCTCACCTTGCCCCATCTTGCTTCAGGTAATGTCGAGAAAGAAAGAACTTAGATAAAAGTCAGAGATCATATGGTAGTTTAGATCTTTGTAATTATTATGGACTTTGATTTTACATTATTTTTTTAATCATTTCAACATAAGCAAGACAATAAAGTCACTAAGACACAACGGGTTACTGAATGTGAAATAATAAGAAAAAATTAATGAGTGAGAACAATAAAAGAGGAATCAACAAGACAGTAGATAACGATTGACATTACATTTAAATTTTTGAAGATCAAAGTCAGCTGCAAAGCATAGAGCCGGAAGAAAGTTCCACGGGCGAGAAGTACGAGAAAAGAAACGTAGCATAGAACTTACAGTTACATTTGGCCAATTCAATTGTATAATGATGAGACTTTCTTGCCAATCTAGTACTGCGCTTAAATTCATAAAGTCTAGCGATCATAGAGCAATGTTCATCAAAACAATTAGCATAAAAGTATTATGTGTGTCATATTATTTGTTGAGATTCGAAACTATGGTTTAGCGTGATTGTGACGTACTGATTTGTTATATTTACGTGAAATAATATAGGGCGATAGAACGTATGTACGTAAACATAATGTGGACAAAATATTCTAAAAAAATATTTTCACATGGTGTACTCGTCTTTGAGTAGAATCTATTACTTCAAGCATTATTATAATGAATGCGTATATTTAAAATAGACGTTCTCTCTTCTTTTTTTAAATAGTGTGTATTACGACTATCGGTCTGTGTATTCGAGAAATCTTAATAAAGAAAATGTGTTCGTTGGAGGGAACCTCTGTTTGATCCGGTGAGCGCCATAGTTCATTAAGACATTATTTTCCATTTTAAGGAAAGCGCACTTCCTCATTCAGATATATATCTGCCCTGTTTCGTATTTGAAGCGTAAATAAAGCAAGTCTAAAGAATGACTTAATGGATGGATCTATCTATCTATCTATCTATCTATCTATTTATTTATCTATCTATCTATCTATCTGAGTCAAAACATCTATCTATCTATCTGAGTCAAAACATCTATCTATCTATCTTAGTCAAAACATATCTATCAATCTTAGTCAAAACATATCTATCTATCAATCTTAGTACAAACATATCTATCTATCTATCTATCTATCTATCTATCTATCTATCTATCTATCTATCTTAGTCCAAACATATCTATCTATCTATCTATCTATCTATCTATCTATCTATCTGAGTCAAAACATCTATCTATCTATCTATCTATCTATCTATCTATCTATCTATCTATCTATCTATCTATCTTAGTCAAAACATATCTATCAATCTTAGTCAAAACATATCTACCAATCTTAGTACAAACATATCTATCTATCAATCTTAGTACAAACATATCTATCTATCAATCTTAGAACAAACATATCTATCTATCTATCTATCTATCTATCTATCTATCTATCTATCTTAGTCCAAACATATCTATCTATCTATCTATCTATCTATCTATCTATCTATCTATCCGAGTCAAAACATCTATCTATCTATCTGAGTCAAAACATCTATCTATCTATCTATCTATCTTAGTCAAAACATATCTATCAATCTTAGTCAAAACATATCTACCAATCTTAGTACAAACATATCTATCTATCAATCTTAGAACAAACATTATCTATCTATCTATCTATCTATCTTAGTCCAAACATATCTATCTATCTATCTCAAAACATATCTATGAATCTATCTTAGTCCAAACATATCTATCTATCTATCTATCTATCTATCTATCTATCTATCTATCTTAGTCCAAACTATATTCATCAAACATCTATCTATCTATCTATCTATCTATCTATCTATCTATCTATCTTAGTCCAAATATTATCCATCTATCTAATGGCCTGGTTAGTAGTTTCCGGTGATTTTGGTAAATTTCATGGATATTACTTCAGTATTATTTGATGCAATAATGTTATTGACGGATATATTTACTTCCTCTGTGTTCATTTTATTTAATTTTGTAAATTCAAATTGGTCTTCAGGATAAAACCAATATACTCGTTATTCAAAGTAAATACTACAGCAAACAACTACAAACCATCATTAACGGCCAGTTTAAATGAAAACCGCACAGAGGAAACAAAAAATAACGACGATAAAATTATATATTTTTTAAAAGAATTTCGAATTGTTTTTTTATATGTATATGTAGATGCAGAATTTCTGAAGAAAGGATGTACAAACCGATAAATCTATTTTTAAAAGGTCACGTGTTTTGTAGGTTGTCTCCTCTTACGAAAAAACAAAAATAAAACTCTTTATCGTCTGCTACATCATAATTAAATATAAAAACGTTCGGCAGTCAATCCGTTGTCAATATATCGATTAACACATAAAAAAAACAAGACCCCGTGCTTAGGACATGCTTGTATACAACATTTTATGCTATAAGAAAGTAATAATTGTTTCAAATCAGATTAACTTACCTTTAAATTTCCTAATTTTCCTCAAACAACGTTTCAGAAATATATATTTTATTTTTGCAAGATTTTTAAAATGAAACATTAAGTTTTGTTTACAAATGTCTAAAAAGTCTGACTTTATTGATTTTACGGAAAAAAATGCAAATTTTGTTCCATTCAATATAATTTCTGCCCGAAATACATTAAAGTATTTTGCTTACTGGGTATAGTAAATTTAAGCTTTTTCATTTTTAAAAATTAATTTAAAATTTTACGTATGCCCAATTCGTGGAGGTACCTAATGGAATATATTAGAAAAATACAACCAGTGGATTAATTCTAAAGTTTCCTAAATGATTAGAATGCTTCGTAGATTCCAAATTTGATCCCAGATTTTTCCTTCACCGTTTATAGTATGCAGAGTCAAATTTCTAAATATAGTCCGTCTTATATACTGTGTAAAGTCATCGTCTGAAGTCCAGAGATAAATAAGCAGAACTTCATCAATAACCTCTGGCCAGTTATGTGTATGGCTTTATCGCAAAAGTGAACTCTACATGCTCGTGTGAATGTATGAGACTTTAGGGTGGGTGTTTATATATCTACCTCTCATACGCTTTTTCCACGCGTGCACATCCTAGGTAGAGCTGGGTCTAGTATGTGTTTACTCATTGGGGCCAGATACTGATATCCGATGAAGTGCGGATCTGCAGTTGGTGGTTAAATCTCTCATGTCAACCCGCCAATGCAGCTGACTTCTCTAACGTAATAGAGAGTGAAAACTCTGTTCTGGTAATATTTGGAGTGAGTTACGTATTGCATAACTAAATTGTTTAAAGTTTGACATATTTATGAGGGAAGGGCATTCAATATCTTTTGTGACTCAACGAATACTCGTTGTCACTTTTGTAATGCTCGTTGTAGTAGAGACTTTGTAATCGCAGATTACAACTATAGTAACGCTGTTGCACAATACTGGTGTCAGATGCCTTCGAATATTACTCGCACTAATAGTACTAATAGTCGATAATACTTGCTCGAAATTTTAACCACTGAATAGTTATCCGAATAGACAAATAGTATAGTGAATAGAATAAATAATAGCTGTCCTTATGGTAACAAAGAATAGAATAGAAAGTGTGATCCGAATAGTAATCAGTATAGGCTAGGATGACGATAAATCTAGACGTCACGTGACTTCCTATATATGCGTTTCCTCTGTGGTCACGTGATCCATTTAATTCAATAATGGGATCGCTTGTGTTCGCTTATTGTCGATCTATGTTCATACTCAAGTGTCGGCAGCGACACTTTATTCCTATATAACAATATCACAGACAGATCGTTTATAGTTATAGAACACTGTACGGTGTTTGTCAGTTTTACACCTCAGAAGTTCTTCAGACCACGTGTCACTATTATTTAAGCTATCTATATAGAGAGACGACTGTGATTAATGTGATTTGGGGAAGGAAGAAAATTGTCCCTTCTAAGTTCCTTTTATTAAGACTAAGGATTCCCTTAATCCCACAGTGTTCTATATAGAGTTCACAAAAACAGTAGTGAAACATCATATGAAGATAGCTTGAGGCGGGAAACTCCATGCAGTGTTTTTTTCCTGTGTCCTATATCTCAC